CATGTCGTAATTTCCCAAACGCTGCCCAGCCGAGTTGAATCCGTCGAGTGACCTCTCGGCTAAAATTGGACTTACCTAGTGAGACTATTTGTCCCAGGTAAACATACTCGTCAACAACTTCGAGCTTAGTTTTCCCAAACAACTACCGGCATAGGTGTGACATGGACGTTACACATGATCTTCGTTTTGTCCATGTTCATCTTATGACCTATCCGTTGGGAGACATTATTGAGGTCATTGAGCATAGTGCTTAGGTACTCCAGCGATTGTGTCGTAAGGACTATATCGTCGGCATATGGAAGGTGAGTGACGTACTGTTCTGCAAGAAAGCATTGTGAACTAATTATATAACGAGTATTTACAAATTTTAAAGCTAAAAATTAACTATTCTAGAGTGTAAACCCAATATGAACTTAAAAGTAGCTAAAATATAAACAACCAATGTGAGCTTAAAACTAACAATATGTAAACAGCGTAAATAAACTTAAAAATTAATGTATAAAGGATATATAATTTGATTTTGCACATTTTGTTTTAAATTAATAACAAGAGTAAATTTTGGTATAAGTTGATTCTGACAATATAAATGTTAATTTGTTATAAAAGCAACATGTGTAAAAATAAAATAAAAAATAACAAATATTTATAGACTTACGGATAAAATACATCATATGGATGTTGGTCTTTTGATTGTTGAGGATTTAGTGCGTAACGTGACAACACGGGTGATATTATCATCCCCAAGATGTTTCTCAATGAATTACGACTTGGCGGTAAGTCGTCTTCTTTGACAATCACAATGTTACCAACCTTTGGCTCAGCAACTTGGGACGACCATTTGTAGCGATGCATCAATGTTACAAGATATTCTTGTGACCAACGTTTCCAAAACGACTGAAGAATGCGTTGAATTAATTGCCAGCGAGATAAATAACTTATATTAGTATTTGTGTAATCAGTATCAGGTACATTTAATGGTACTCCAATCAAAAAATATCCCGGAGTCAATGTTAGTGGTTCACCAGGATCATCAACGTTAATTGTGCTCATAGGTCGCGAATTTAAACACGCCTCTATTTGACTGAGGATTGTCGTCAGTTCTTCAAAGGTGAGAGTCGCTCCACCGATCACTCGCTTCAAATGTAATTTTGCAGATTTCACTCCTGCCTCCCAAAGTCCGCCAAAGTTGGGACTGTGAGGGGGAATGAAATGCCACTCTGTACCATTCGTTTCGAGGTGTTTGGCTATTGATGACTGAATAGCTGTCAACTGCTGTAACTCCCTGGAAGCACCTACGAATGTAGTGTCATTGTCACTTCACAGTTTGGCACAATGACCTTGCCTTGAAACAAAGCGTCTGAACGCCGCTAAAAAGGCTTGAGTGCTCATGTCACTCACTGCTTCCAAGTGCAGCGCACGAGTGACCATGCATACAAACAGGCATATATAGCCCTTGTATGACCGATGGTCACGCCATTTCGTTGTCCTTACGCTAATTGGACCAGCATAGTCAACCCCGCTGTGAAGAAATTGTCGAGCTGGGGTGCAACGAACAGCTGGTAGTGAACCCATGAATTGGTTTTTTGTATTGGCATTTTGTATTATATTTATATTTTATGATGTTTGACCAGATTTCTAACCCCAATAATCCGGTAGGCTGTCCTCAAATAGTTAATCATGAGCTGGGGACACCTGTGGAGGGTTTTATGGTGAGCGTCAGCTATGATTAACTTAGTTAGATGACTGGAGTGAGGCAGGACGATAGGATGTTTCATCTGTTCGCTGAACTCTGACTTCTCCAGTCTCCCTCTAACTCTAATAATGTTCTTATCATCAAGGTAGGGACAGAGTGACCTTAATGGGCTTGATTTTAATTCTACATAGCCTTTGTTCTTTAATTCTTCATATTCTGTCTTAAATAGTTCTCTCTGTGTTTTGCTTATACAACTTTCGAGTACAGCGTCTAATTCTGTCTTGGGTAAATATCCCTTTCTGTATATTTTGTTCTGCTTAAAAATCTACGACAGTATGCAACAATCCTCACTAATCTTCTTAACTGAGAAAACCGATCAAAGAACGATTCGTTTGGAATTGTCGTTGTACCTTTGCTAACTCTTCTAAATCTGTAGTACAATTGTTGTGATTTGGCCTATTGTAAACTACGTTTTATAGCTTAAGAAACGGTGGCTCAGTAAACCATAAATTGTTTTCTATTATTGAACTAGAAAGTATCCCTCTCGAGGCACAGTCTGCTGGATTATGTTTTGTGGAGACGTGAAACCATTGCGACGCTTTCATTGAAGTTAATATTTCAGACGTTCTATTGGCCACAAATGTCTTCCATCTACTTGGGTGGCTGTTTATCCAAGCCAACACAACAGTGGAATCAGTCCACGCCTTGACCCTTTCTTGAGAAATATTCAAGACCTCAGCTGTTTGCGATAGAAGTTGTGACAGCAAGACCACTCCACAGAGTTCCAATCGCGGAATACTTATTTGTTTTACTGGTGCGACTCTACAACGACTAAACTCTAGTTTTAGTAACCAGCCACGATACATTAATGTTACCATCTGAACCGACAACTCGCAAGTAAACAGCAGCTGCGTAAGCTGTTTTGGAGGCATCACTAAAACCGTGAAGTTCCAGAGAGTCGTTCTACCTTGTACCAAGCCAACGGGGAATCCGAACCTTGGTGAGTAATAACAACTCTTCACGATACGATCTCCATTCATTTATTAAGTCTTCGGTTAGCTCCTGGTCCCAATCAACACCTGCAAGCCATACCCTCTGGATGAAGACTTTCGCTATAATTACACAAGGGGCTGACCAACCTAATGGATCGATAAGTCGTGCTATCACAGAAATAATAGCTCGTTTAGTTACAGGTGCGTGTACTGGAAGCAGTCTGCGTTGCGCTTCCAGGTAAGACCCAGAATTTTAATAGTAGTGTCAAGTTTTATTTCTTCTTCGTTTTGTTTATGCCCTGATTTATTTGGTTTACATTGTTCTATGAATTTTATGTCCTGTATGATATTGTGATTATTTGTGTTGTCCTTGTTATCGGTTGTCCTGTTTTGATCTATTTGTCCTTTCAATATATTACTTTTTATGTCCTGTATCTTGTTCAACATTTCTTGATTATTACTGTTACATTTTTGAAGCGCAAATCCACCCTTTCCTAATAAGTCTGTCATTTGACGATGTATTTCCAGGCCTTCTTCTACGTCGTTACAACCGGTCATCAAGTCGTCCACGTAGAAGCAGTTGAGAATCTTATCTGCAGCAACTGTATAATTGTGGCCTTCATCGTAGGCTACTTGATGAAGTGTTTTGACTGCTTGGTATGGCGCTGATGCCGTACCAAAGGTAACAGTCACTAGTTCGTAGTCCTCGATTTCAGTTTCAGAACTGTCTCGCCATAAAACGCGCTGAAACATTGCATCTTCATCCGAAATCCTGACCTGTGTACGGTACATTTTTACAATGTCTGCTACCAGTGCAATAGGGTGAAATCTCCATCTTAAAATTGTGTGTCTCAAATCAGACTGCAATGTCTGCTTTGTCATTGAGTGAGACTCCATTGTTGTTCTTCTCGTAGGCGTTGAACACGACACATACCTTCGAGGTAGTTTTGTCCTCCCGGATTACAGCATGGTGAGGTAAGTATACCGCTGCAACCCTATTCTTGTCCCTTTTATCTATCTTCCTCATGTGTCCTAGTTGTTAATACTCTTCTATTACCTTCTTGTATCTTTCCTTTAAATCTACATCTCTTCCTAACATTTTTTCTAAAGATTTAAATCTCTTTTCAGCGATAGCACGAGAGCCACAACCTTTACAAGAAGGATTTTCTTCGCGTAAAGGTAATCTTACTACGTATCTTCCACTGACGTCTCTTACGGTAGTTTTATTATACAGCTCTTCACACTTCTTATCCTCAGGTGTCAATATTTTCTTTGAACTATTTTGCTCTTCAATTTCCCAAAATCGTCTTAATAATTCGTCATCACTAAGTTGTGCATGCAAGACATTAATTTTTGTTGAACTTTCCCTACTGACAGCGCCAGATAGGACCCACCCTAAGGTAGTGCTCTTTGAGCAATCAGCGTACCGGACGGGCTCTTAACAATACCTGCCTTAATAATGCAAGTGTAAGCATCAGCGCCCAATACGTCTATCTTATTGGGCGTGTTGAACACTGGATCTGCAAACTGTAGCGTATTAACGCTTAACCAATCTAAAGTAGTACGTACTTTGTGTTCAGGTAAGTATGACGTGATTTTGGTAAGTACGTAAGCGTTAACCATAAGACTGAATACAGGATCTACTCGCGATTTTATATTTAAATGTACCATGTAAGTTGCTTTGGTTGAACTATTGTCGCCAAGGCCTGAGATAGTTCCTTGTATCGGGATTTTTTTCAGGTTGAGCAGCTGAACTACGGCCTCTGTAATAAAACATAATAATCGTAGGGATGACCCTATCGCTTTTTGCGGTGCGTGCCTCGCTCCGGATGATGGATAAGAAGATAGTGCGCAAAGGGCCGCTGCCTGTCGCCGGGGCGCGTCTGGAGTTGGCGCTGGACGCGGCAGCATGCGGGCCGCCAGCCGAGCGCGAGGAGCTGCACGGTCACCTAGCAGCCCTCGCAATCCCCACCAGAAGGCTTGGTGTCGGCTGGGTCTTCTCGGACTCAGCAAGCGGCACCCGCCGCTGGTGGAGCACGTTGCATGCGTTGGTCACAAGCAATGAATACAAACGCACTGCTGGCGTACTTTAGGGCAAAAGGGGAAGAAACAGGATGTTTGGAGTACCGGGCTAGGATGCATCGTCTTTTTGCTGAGCTGGAGCCATCTTTAACCGTCACAGAGCAAACCTGGCAGACCGAGTTCTGTATATCTTGTGCTCAAATATATTTGATGTCGCCGAACTCGAACGGCTACGACGTGAGGCTGCTCCCTCATCGGATGAAAATGCTACGGCTGAGGATGCAGCGCCACAAATGATAGAGCAACCCGCAAACGTGGATGTCGCCGTGAATACCCCAGTTGTGGTTGATTCAAACGATGATGGAACAGTCGCCCAGGAACTGGAATTAGAGCATATGAGGAGTACATTGGAAGAGGCGATTGTGGAAACGCGCAGTACGCCTCTCGAAAATCGACTGCGACTTCCCCGTATAGCCCTAATCAAGCGGAATCGGGCTGTCGTGAGGGCTCTGAACCCAATGCTGGTGACCTATTTGGAAGCCAGCCGGGACCTTTGCGAGACGGACTCAATTCTTTTGGCGCCGCACTGGCAGTCTGCCGTATCATAGGCGCCAAGGTTTCCACGGCTGGACGCGCTACTGGCCATAGTAGCGCTATCCCAGCATGGAGAAGAAGAATTGAGAAACGTATCGCAAAGGCTAGAGCTCTCATCGGCAGACTGATATGCTTCAGATCAGGCAATTACAGGCCAAGAATTGTGCGCACCGTCAGGATGGCGTTTGCTGGGACAAATGTCAGTTTGTCCCCTTATACCAACCTTTTCCAATTTATTTACTAGGATAGGGATAGAGACGGTGTCAAAGGCTTTTTTGATATCAAGAAAAACCGTTAAACGTTTATTTTTATTATCAATTTCTTCAATTATTAACGAGCTTAGGGAAATTACAGTATCTTCTGTGGATTTACCCGTTCTACATCCCAATTGGGAAGGAGACAAAGTATTATATTTATTTAAAAAATTTACTAAATGAGTATTAATAAGCTTTTCCAAAATGTTTGATATGCTAGGTCGTATGGATATGGGCCTATAATTATTCACTTCCGTCCTATCTCCACCCTTGTGTACCGGAATAATAATAGAATGAGATGAATTTAAGAATACAATTTGTTAAATATTTCTTATTGTCATAACGCTTTTGTAATTGATTTCAGCACTGAATATATTTGGCATCAGTTACAGGTGTGAGGCGAATCAATTGTTCTGCTTCACCGGAAAGGTAATGAAGCCTTTGCACATTATCTAAAGATTCATTATTATGTACTAATGAGGTAAAGAGATCGTGGAATGTTGTCCATTCATCATATTTTCCTGAGAATGTTGGAATGCATATTTTGGGCAACTTTACGAAAGAACTACTTGATTTATTAATGGTGCTAGAAGTATTGGCTTGATTTAAAGAATCTTTTGTGTTAAGGGTAGTTTTCATTAAACTTTTGTAAACAATATAAGTGTCCTCTGTAGCATCATAAATATCAACAACCCTTTGTGATATATCTGCTGCTTTGAAACGTTCGTATAACTTAGTATTATTTTCTTTAAACAATGCACTATCCTTTTCTAATAATTCTTGTCTTGTTTCTATATATCCTATCGTTAACCTATCTTTACCACATTTTTTAAAATTAGTTAATCCTTTTTTATAACACTTTGTTGATCTTTTAAAACATTAATTATCCGCTAAAGCTGACTCAGCTCACCGCCTACGCTGGTGAAGCTATCACCGCTGGTGCGGAGGACTCGTGTACTTCTCTGTAGCCATCCACTACAAGTACACGGAGAAGCGGGCCAGCGGTGGCCGCTTTGAACTCAAAAGGCCTGTCCAAACGATCCGGCTCGAAGGATCAATGTTAAATACCGGGGTGGTATTTAGGGGAGATTGAGTTGAGCTGAACTGTAGCAAGCGGGAATTTTAAATAAAAGACCACAACTACTTGTTGATCTCGGAGTTGTTCTCCGGTTCGATCCCGTTTATTAAAATAAAACAACATTGACCTATACAAATTGCGGAAGCCAAACGCTAACGACTTCTAATTCGACGCCAACGCCATCTATCGAAGACGTTGGAAGCTTTACAAAATGTTAAGTCACAAACACGGTCTGTTACTAAACCTTTAAAAAGTTCATAGGAAAATATCAAAACATATTTATTTATCTTGGTCACATATATAGATATAATTAGATAGAAGAGGGGAAATAATATCTTATAATATATCTATAAGAGGTTTCGTTTCGTTACAATCGGTTATACATATTAGTGTAGTAGTAAAAAATGTATTATTAGTATTATTAATTCAGTTATTCTACAAAAACAAGGCGTTGCAAGTATTATCCGTTAAGGTAAAGTTTTCCCGATCCACGTATAAAGGTATCATGAAAATTTTAAATATAACCCCTATATTTTACACAAATTGTTTTTGTTGTTGCCGTCCCTGATAGGGTGCGTATCTTTGTTAGGCTGTGTGATGTATATTGTATGCATATTATTAACACTATTATAAATCACTTCATGAAAAAAATTAAAATACTATTCTTGTAATTTTACGAATACATTAAAAATTTAATTAAAGAAATGTGTTCGCGAAGGCCTAACAACGCTAAAAACAAAGTGATGAAATAATATTGTTTTTTGTATTAATAGTGAAATTACCGACAAAACTGGGTGAAAACGTATATATATTTAGTTGTGTAGCATGTTTATAACTCTTAGTATATATGTATAGAATGTCGTTTTGATAACAAGTGATGTAAACAACTTTTATTGTATTAGGAAAAATCGACCAATCGCAGCGCGTCTTATCGTAGAACTCTCTAGAAGTCTTTAATTAACTGCGTAATAGTTCATGCTAAAAATAATGAAAATAATTCTATGTTCTAAAAGAGTTGTAAATAGGACATGGAATTAGCATATGGCTTATAGATTAAGGAAGTGTAGGAATATTTTGTATAATTAAACGCATTTGGTATTTATCTAAAAATCATAGAATAAATGTACCCAAATATTATGAAAATTTGGGACATTTCGTTTAATAACCTTTTACAATGTTAATGTTTTGAGTAACCTTTATGATACACTAATAAAATACCAGCCTACCAATTTGATGATGTATAGCATGTTAGTGTAGCAATTAGTTTTGTATAGAAAATATTGTAATTTATGCCATTTGCATAGTGAAAAGTTTATGCAATAAAGAGGCAAAACGGAAAATGGCAAGCGGCTCACTGTAAAGTATAGCCAAAGTCTACCTTAGGGGCTTGGGACCCAGTAGGAGTAGTAGTGTGAAGAACTACCAGTGACAAGCAGTAGTATTCGGTAGTAGCTGAAGTGACTAGTAGCAGTATATAGTGAATAGTGAAAGTGTTAGCTAGCCGAAAAAGGTCGTAACTGATATTCGCAGTTACATATAGTGAAAGTATTAGCTAGCCGAAAAAGGTCGCAACTGATATTCGCAGTTACATATAGTGAAAGTGTTAGCTAGCCGAAAAAGGTCGTAACTGATATTCGCAGTCACATATAGTGAAAGTGATAAAATCAGCTAGTTTAGTTGATAATAGCTGCTAGTCAGTAGTGTTAGAAAACCAGCTACTACCAATAGATATTTGATACTATCGTACAATTTAAAGAAATCTTTTGAAATATACAGTGACCAACCAATAGTGAACAACCGTAGTTGAACAACCGTGGTCAATAAACAATAGTTATAAAGTTTCGCGACTAATCAATCAGTCGAACTGCTGGCTTCTACCTTGCTATTTGTATTTATAAATCGTGCATTTTGATTTGAACTTCAGTCCACAATATCTCAGCGGCACCCACAAAGACGGCAGTGAAAGTACCCTCCGGAACCTATGGACGGACCGGATATATACCGGACGTGAGCGACTCGCGAAGTATCTTCGACAACATTTATTCCTGAGATTTTCGCCCGTCCGGCACAAAATGATTAATTGAAAAAGTACTGAACAATATTTATGAAAATTATGAAAATATTCATATAAGAATTCCTGACTTACGAAATTGGACAATAACCAAAGTGATGAAAAAAATAAATGAGAATTTTCCTTAGCAATTTACCTTGAGTTTTTATACGCCGACAATTTTTCATTATAACTTCATGTACTAACGGTACTGAAGTCATGTACGGAAGGATTAACTACATTTTACTATATATTCGATTATTACGAGTAATAATTAAATTTATACATAAATAATTGTATCATAGAACGAATATATATAAGAAGTATCGAAACTATATTGTTTTATAATACAGTTTCGATACTTTTTTAGGTTTCGCAACGCTACCGTATTATGTTACACATCCGGGAACGGAATACAATCTCCCATTCGCTCGACAGTGGTACAAATGTGACTAACACAACGCCCTCCGCCCGCTCGGCAATGGTACACATGTTATGTGCGATGGGTGCGTGAGCTATTTCTGAGAGATTTCTCCGTTCGCGCTTTTCCGCCGTCCGCGTTTTTTGAAATAAAAAGGTGAGGTTTTATACTTTTGTTTATTCCTTGTAATAAAGCAAACACGTAGATATATAATTTGTGGCATAAAAAGTGAAAAGTAAGTGCCAAAATTACTTCGAAATAGAGAAGGCCCATTTTAACGGTTGGGTCAAATATGTGTTATTTTTCCAATTCTCATTTATTTTTAGTGTAAAATTTAACTAAAAGATAGTTTTATAACATATAATTTCAAATAACTTGACGTTGTATTTATTTCAAATTCACACAAAAATATATTTGAAATATATTTTTGTGTGAATTTATAGTTTCCTTTTTTTTATTTTTGTATGAGTAACTAATAGAAATACATAAAACATAAAAATATACATCTTTCCAAACATTTTCATATAGATTTCTTAAAAAACAAACGTGTAGAATTCAAATTAGTAGTAATTTTGGACTAAAAGTAAAGTATCTACTACTACTATGTTATAAAGGGTAATTTATGAATTTAATTACAATTTCTAGCAACTAAAATAATTTTATTCGATAGTTTAAACATTCAATAAAAATCCCTGTAAGTTTTATCCATAAATATTGTCTCAAAGTGAAAATATAGCAAAATTTGCAAGTTAGCAAAAAATTTGCAATTCCCGCCATTTTACGTCGCGAGCCAATATCGAATAAAGTCGCCTTTCGAACATACAGGTTAAAAATATCAAATAATATTAAAATCCTCCAAACCGAGTTTCTATCACAGCACCCAGTCACAATGGATGCTAGCAATCTGCGCAGGATAGGATTAAATTACACGAGTGTGTTCACAAGCATAGGTGCACCCTCTATTCCCTCACACTCATAGTCCGATAGAACTGCCATCTGAACGAACGGAAAGGAAACAGCCACAGGACTAACGCTTTTACGTGTTTTCCGAGACCAGGGTGTTAATCTCTGCCATCTTTCAGACTCCAGGCTGCTATTGAGTATTTCTTAACATAAAAACCCAATAAATAACTTTGACCCTACCTTGGATTCGAATCCAGGACCGGACCGGAATATGAGGATCAGCAGTTGCGCTTAAGACCAACGAGGGA